TCCAACTGAGTATGAAGTTTCCAAGATCAAGTTATCACATGAATTCTATTGGACGACGTGACCAACAAGCCTTGGCTAAATCTAATACTGTCTGACGCCATGACGTCAGACAAAAAGTAGTTAGATGACGCTCTGGTCAGTGATAGATTGATGAGACGGCCTCTATTTATAAACTGCATGGTCTGTTTTCCGTCGTTCTCGACGACGAAGTAAATTATGAACAGTTTTAACAGGGAAAGTTGTCTTGAAGTGTTTGAGACAAAAATGCTTCAATGCTGCTCTAGGACGCAAAGTAAATGGCCTGTACACTTTATAGCTAGAGCAAAACAAGATACTAATAACCCGGACAAAACTCACGCGATGATGGTCTTACTATATATAGATGTACATGTATTATAAATGAGTTTAAAATACATCTTTATGTGCAGCTTTAAAATTGTTTAGTTTTTCTTTTTAATCGATTTCAGGACTTTTCTCATAATTATAATAACGTGCTTTTTTATGAAATGAAAACCAGTACAGATCATGATGTCTTCTTCATTTTGCCGATTCTTTACTTAGAACCTTACGGGAGTGAAGCCCATTCCTCTACGGGTACTGACATACATGTACACTCTTCTCACTGTATTAAAAGGAAACCCTTGTTCATCACAAAACATGAAATAATATGCTACTGGCTGACTTTCTAAGCTTTTGTAAAAACCTAACCTTGTAACGTACATTATTAATAAATGTAATATTGAAAAAAAAAGGTGGAAAACAGACTTAATCAAGAAGGGATGTCCCATTTACTAGGTGGAGGGAGTTTGTTTATGATTGGACTAGTCCACTTATGGGATAAATAGTAAGAATAATCAGCAAATTCATTGCTTTAGTGTTGCCTGCCCATTCACAATGTGTTCTTTTAAAAAATGAGATAAAATTTACTGTAAATAAAAAATCTGAAGCTTAAGAATCAGGTTAAAAGAATATTTCCATAGAAGTTATCACACCCATTAAATAGAACAATCCAAGAAAAAGGCGCGAAGATAATTTACGTGACATTTGGAGCGAAATGATTGTGTCACCCCTTTCTTAGAAAGCAAATGGACTGATCCAGCAGTTTAGAAACACAGAAAAAATGTTACACGGACATGTCCGTACAAAGAATCGCAAAGAATAAACATGTGCATGCAAAAAACTGAAGGGATTAAACACATCATTATTTTGCATCAGTAATATGATTCTCTTCTGCAAACTGTATTTGTTTAAATGCATGTCAGTCATTCTACGATAAATGGACCAATTCAGAGTAAAAAAACATGAAAAAAATAATTGTTTCAAATAGCAAAATGAACATCATAATTCTCTTAAGGACCCATCAGTGAACTTGAAAACAAAGAATTGTCCACAAATTTGATACCGTTAACTTTTTACAACAATTTCAAGATACCATTAATTTTAAGGTAATGTTACGGAAGTATTAATGCTTGATCAAGCCTTATTATTTTTAAATAAAGCTGAATTTGACCAATTTTTCATTTCTGATGTTCAGTAAAGAACGCTAAAGTATGATTCATGAAGTCTCGCACGAATCCGAATTTAAATTAAATTTTCGGGAAAAATATCGTTACGGAAGTTAATTCCCAGCAATTAAAGTTAAAATTCTCTTCAATAGTTAAAATCAAAGTTTGTTTTAGGGTATTAAACAAAAGTATGAAGCATTTCGCTCCCAAAATAATCAAATTTTTTTTTTACCTTAAATGCAAAAATTTTCCTGAATTACCGTTACGGAAGTTATTTTCATTCGAGACAACTGTTTTTGTTTAATTCATTTTGTTATGTCGAAAATGTAATCGTGTAAAATTGCTGACTCGCAACTAGAATCGATGATATAAGGTTCCGTGGTCACTTTCAGATAATTTCAGTTCTTTTTGAAATCTGCATTCTATGCGTGAAGTTTAAAACAAAATCGTTACGGAAGTTAATCGATTTTAAGCGACATGCTTATAAATCCGCATGAAAGGAGATCTATGCATTTCTTTGCGAGAAGTGGTTTGGTTTCTTTTTATATAGGATAAAAGACATTTTTTAACATTCATTGCACTCTATTCGAAACGATTTTACGGCTGAAAATTTCATCTTGAAATTTGTATATAAATGAAGCGACATTAAGATTTGCAGTGGAATACGTTTTTCAACATTACATTACGTTCATATCAAAACTTTAACTGCATAAATATCGGTGAATATTTACAAAACCATGTGTGTGTATTTTAAGTCTTAGAGCTGAAATCACCTTTAAATTTATAATTAAGATATTACAACAGTAAATTTGCAAGCGACATGAAAAATTCTTAATTGGTCATGTTTTTGTAGAATGACTGATATAACAAATTCCGATGTAAATCAGCTTGCACAAAATCTAGTTCATTGAGAATGATCGCTTAGTTTCGGATCACGGTAAAATTAATCCTTATACCTCTTATACTGCCTGACGCACGTGGCGTCAGGCAATAAAATTCAGTTATATAGTTATCAATTATCCACCTCTTTGTTAGAGAAAATTTTGTTACCTCAGAGGAGATATAGTGCCATTTTTCTATATTTCTTTCTATGGAAATCTTATTAGGAAATTTTAATTGTGTAAAATGAAAAAAAAACTTTTGAAAATGTTCAAAGCAACTTCTTCAGTAACAAAACTATATATTTCTAAAACTTATCAGGAATTTTATTGAATCGATAGCAGCATTTCCCCACTTTTCACCAAATTGTGTGGCCTGGACAAGCATTAACTTGTTAGTGAGAGAGGTACCTATTTAAGCAAAGATAGTTGAATTTTGGAATAAAAAAACTGAGTAATTTATCCTTAAGCACCTCTCTATACTCTTCAGAATAAAGTCAACTGCTGTGAAGAGGATATCTTCGTCGCGCCAGTTACATCATATTCAAGATGTAATATCAATCAAATGTGGAATTAAATTTGAAAGAACATTGTAAAATAAAAGTCCCTCTACAAATCAACATCATCAAATCGTATGACTTTTCAACACGTAAATACAAACATTCCTCACGATAAATTACCATACACCAGGCTTTTTAACATGAATATTTGATTTTTTCAAAAAGAATTAAATCAGAAATTATATATCTTTTGATATTAATCTAAAAAATTAATTTGTTAAAACTTATTACTCGCAACATTACATACTAGAAAGTTGATACATGTATTAAAAAGATGTTGGATTTCCTTGTTGTCAATAGACAATTTCTGTACGACATATTTTCAATAAAGGTCAAGCTGGTGAACTTCTTTTATTAACCAAAGAATGGAGGCGTCCGTGACGAGGATAATGCCCCGCTGTGAGACCAGATATTTCTCAGTTCTAAAAGTTCAGAGAAGTTTTTTTTTCTTTCGAAAATTGTGTTTCGTATCATCTTTAACACATTTGATTCCCTTATTACATTGATTTATTTATTGATAAATAATGTATTTTTCAGTTATGTTTCTATGATACATGTATGTGAAAAGAAAAAAACAATAGCCTTATGCATGATTTGGAACTCACTGCAGAGCTAGTGATGGCGCGTAATATTCAACGCCTTACCCGGAAATTTACGCATTCTTAAGCTTGTAGCTTGTGTCAGTGTGATTTAAATAAATGAGCTTGTTGAAAGTATAATTTTCCCCCGAAATTTTCAATTTTCATATAGAAAGGGTTCAGGCTTTAATTTTTGTTTTAAATATAGATTTTAGTACATTCATTTTTCCGTATTTAAACGTTTATGTAGAATGGAGACTTGACCAAATAGATTTTACATTCATTTTCCCGTATTTAAACTTTATGTAGAATGGAGACTTGACCCATATTAAAAAATTATCTTAAATGGCTCCAACAGACCCATTTTCCCCTGAATATCCTATTTTGACTATTTAGCAGTCAATTTATTAAAAGAAATGAATCAATTGTATCAAAGATGACATTACTGACAACATAATTCTTGAAAAATAACTTTTCAATGAGCTTTGAAAATTGAAAAAAACATATTGAATCAAAGTGGGGGATTGCCCGGTTTTTTAAAGATACATGAAAAAAATTCATATGGTAAGCATTAATTAATCAAGGATAAAACTTTGTAATTCATGAAGATGTACTTGAAAATATATTTTTGACTTTTATGAATGCAAGACCAAAATCAAAATTTGTTGCAAAGGGCTCCAAAATTCTATGAAAGAAATCCAAAAATCTACGAAAAAACTCCAAAAATCTTAAATTTCCCTAATATCTAAAAATGGACTTTGAAGTTTTTATGTCTTCTCTACTGATCTTGAGAAATGCCAAACTGCCTGAACAGATGTGATGTCCATCAGACTGTGCAAAACCAGGGGGAGGGAGGAGATGAGAAGCCCTGCTGGAATAATCAGTTATAATCATGTATCAAATATATCACAGTCTGTACATGGTCTCGTGTCATCAAGTCAATAAAAACTTATCATGATATACATGTAAGTTATTTGAAAGCATTTTCACTTAAATATACTTCTACAAGATATAGGCATTAAAACATTTTGCTTTGGGTTGAATGGATCAATAAATACAAATTTAAAGTATATACTAATGACAGAATTCAAAAATTATTTCACGCTTATTTAATATTGCTCTCAGACATCTCATAATATACAGATACAGCTGTACTTATAGAATTTATACAGTCTCCTCCTAAATGCTGCCTTTACACTTATACTGACAAAATATTATACAAAGATCAATATACATTTACAAAATGTAACACAAAAGTTTACGCTTCAAAACAGAATATTTTCAAAGCAGTACACAACTTCAACAAATACCTATCACTTGACAATGAACACAATGTTTATCTGTTTCACACGTTCCTGATATACAGGTAATTTCCATTAGTCAAATGATACATAAACATTTTTCTTAAATTCTTGTTGGTATGAATTTTGAAAAAAACATTTTTTTAAATTCCATTCTTAACTGTCTTTTCATATTTACATCATCTTTTTCTTTCCTCTACCAGGCCCCCTACCCCTTCCTCTCCCCCTTCCCCGTTTGGAGGGCTTTTTGTTCCTCCCCATACACTTGGAACAGTACCAGTGTTCCTCTTCTGCTGGCTCCTCCTTAAGTCCAACACACGGCCTGCAATGAACCAACAAAAAAAAAAATGTGAAAAATTATCCAAGTTAATTTAAAAAAAGACTAGTGTGCTATTTGAAAATGTTGGTATAATCTGAATAAGGTTCATCTTCAATGAACATTAAAACCTGACTTTGAACCATTTTTCAATAAATATTCTGGATAATTTGTCAAAGAATCCTAATTTAACCTGGAAATATGTAAATTTGTTTGAATGAGGTACAGGAAGGATAACTCCTGCTTACTCTAATACAATAACAAGACACTGACCAATGATACCAGTCATCACAGATGTCACAGCCAATCATAGGGCTCCCATCATCAGGCATCTTACAAGCAGGGCAAATCCAAACCTTCTGTCCAGAATCATCCTACAGTACATAACATACAAGCTTCAGGAATGTATATGTACATGTAAATAGCGTATCAACCAACTTAGTTAAAGTATGATTTCTGGAAGAATTTGACAATAAAATCAATTTGTAGAACATTTGCTGCAAAATGAATACCTCCTTTCCCCTTTTATAAAATATTAACAAGAGAATAAAGTTACATGCATCCGAGTTAATTTTCCTGCATTTTTTTTTGTTTTGTTTTTTGTGGGTAAGACGTGGGGGAAGCTACATTATTTTACCGAGTTCATGCTTTGTAACAAAATATTACTTTTTATTTTTTTTTTTTAAATCAATTTTAAGCAGGTTTAAAATTCTCTCTGGTAAAAAAATGATAATGGATATTGAATAAATTTGTCTTCTGCAACATTCACTTTTTCTTAATCTCATGACATTGCATTTTTTTTAAGGTATGAATTTAATAGCTACCCAGTTTATACTGTATGAAATGGGTTGGGGCAGTTTATGGTTTATAAACCCCGAAGCCGTTTATAAAAAAGCGTAAATTGTTCTAACCCACTTTATACCGTATAAATTGGGTAGCTTTTAAATTCATTCCTTATAATTTAATTTTCTTTCACTTAGTGTAAAAAAAAAGATAATGTCCTTAGAAAATGACTTCAAATATTGTACAAAATTTAAATGTAACGTCAGGCGGATAGATACGTTTTTGACGCAAGTCATTGTGATGTAGGCAACCCAATTTATACAATATAAAGTAAATTTTTTATCCAATCAAATGGCGCATTACAATCAGAATTAAATTATAAACATAAAACTTACGATGAAGGTGGTTACTGTTTCAGCAATGACTGTCCTTTGTACCCCTGGTTTGGCAAAGCTGGTGCCTGGCATGCTTGGAGGGGGCATGGGAGGGATCACCTCACTTTTAATAGTAAGGGGGACAGGAGAGAGACTTGGAGAATGGGAAGGACTCCTGGAGATCATGTGACCAGGAGTTGATGGTTTAGTATTTGATGGGGAAACAGAAGCCCTATATGGACTTGGAGAGGGGGAAGGAGGGGGTGAGGGCTGTGGGGAGGGGGATCTCCCTGGGGAGGGGGTCCTAACAGGAGACTGTGAATTGGACTTAGACCTCATGTAGGAAGAGATGGACTCACCTGCAGGAGATGGGGATCGAAGAGGGGAGTTGGAGGGGGAAGGGGTAAAAGTTTTACGGGTTGAGGCAGGAGAAGGGGTAAACCTCTGCACCTCTTCTTCGTCCTCTTTCATGGGCTCAGTCTCATGATCCGAGTCAGGTTCAAAGTCAGTTTCAGGAGTAGGAGGTTTGATGGAGGGTGTTGGAATTTTTGGGGGTGGTGGGGTGGGTGATTTTCGTGGAGGAGGTGGGGTTGGGGTTTTCCTGGGAGGAGGTGTTGGGGTTTTTCTTGGTGGGGGTGTTGGGGTCTTGATAAAAGGGGTGAACAGACCTGGAGGTGAGGGTTTTCTGGGTGGTGGTGGAGTAGGAGATTTGGAGGAAGAGGATGAAAATGGGGTTTGTTGTCTGGAGATTGGAAGTGGGGCAAAAAGAGGCTGATCCATGCTCTCCTGTTTGATAGGAGGATGTGTTGAAGGAGTTGGGGCATCTTTTTTCTTCTCCTTGTCTTTTTTCTTTTCCTTTTTTCTCTCCTTCTCTCCTTGTTTTGGAGTCGATCCACCTAAAGACTGGGGGGAAGCTGAGCCTCTCTCTGACAAGGGTGGCAATGCTTTTATAACTCTGAAAGCAAATTATATTAGGTACTTTCAATTTCATTATACATGTACATGTACATTGTACCTCTGGTCTTCATCATAACCATTACTATTCTTTTTTGCAGAATGGGAGGATCTTGATTGGGGTGGCGGTGTCTGAATAAAAGTTTTGTTTAAGTATAGATGTAGAGTTATTACTTGCATCAACCCATCTTAAAGTTGTAATTTGGAGAGATTCTAAGTGAAGAATGGGGGGTCTTACAACTAGTAGCCAATGGGAGGAGAGAGTTTGAAACAGGATTTAGCTAGTTGAGTTAGTAATAAAAACTAACAATCTGAGTTTTCATCCACTAAGAGAAAGAGGGGTGTACTTACAATTTGAGCTCTGGCCTGGGGGAGTTCTGTGCACTGTCATTGGGAGGAGATTTTAGGGTTCCTTCAGACATGTAATTTACTGTGGTTGAGGATGGAGAACTACCAATTCTGATCTTAAGCTTGGATACAGTGGGGATATAATCCGGCTAATGAAAAGAAAAAAAGTACTGTAGATTTATATGTTTTCAGATTTTTCACTAATAATAATCCAACTTGGAATATGATACAAATCAATACAGCATGATTAAACAACAAAATGAATGTAAAATTAATGTTTATGTGTAGATTTAAGGCAGGAAAATAAATTTTTATTTCGGACAAAATTTTACAATTATTTGCTAGAATTAGAAATATCACGGTAAGCTGAGCTATATGCATTATGCAAGTGTTCGTCAAAATGAAATATTCTTTAACACATGAAACCCTGCCCTACATTGACATTACCTCTTTAGTTTTTTCTTTGTCCTTCTTTCTTTCTCTGTCTCTATCCTTATCTTTATTCTTCTTTTTCTTCTCTTTATCTCTCTTCTTTTCTTTCTTTTTCTCCTTGTGTTCCTGTAAGAAATATATTTTTTTTCTCTCTAGACTTCATAAGACTCTTGTATATCTTACAAAAAATACAGGAAAATGTGAAGAAAATTTTTATAATCTCACTATCTTAAAACTTGCAGCTTCTTTTGCCATCAATCTCTTAATGAAATCTTATTTCACACAATGAACATTAAGATTTAGAAAAATATATCTCTGAAATAAGCTTTCTTTACTTTTACTAAGATATAAATTAACAGATCATTCTGTTTTACAACATTCAAATTTATGAAATCTCAAAACCTTAACATATACATGTAAATGTACACAGATACCTTGGATCTCTCCTTCTCTGGTTTATCTTTACTTTTCTCTTTGACCTTCTCTCCGTCCTTATTCTCCACTTCTTTATCCACGAACTCCACACTAAACATTTTCTGTGGTGACTGAATGACCTCCTTTTTAATTTGTTCTGGAGGTTTGGGGGGACTTTCTGGGAAGTCATATACATTGGGGGGTCTAGGGGCCTCCTCCTCCTGGGGCTCTGTCTTGACTGTCTCACTGATGAAATCTTTCCCCTTCAACTTATCCTTTAACTTGTCCTTGACTTCCTCACTCGGCTGCTCTTCTTTCTGTTTTGGTGTCTTCTCCTTCTTCTTTTTCTTCTTCTGCTCAGACAAGTCAAACGATGGACCCTCCTCCTCAATCATTTCCCTTTTAACTGTCACAGAGGGAGGAGCATCACTGCTGTCCTCAATAGCTGGATTCGTGTCCTCTTGATTTGATTCTGTCAGCTCCTCTGCTATCTTCTCTGATTTCACTTCTTTCTCCTTCGTCACTTCCCCTTCAGAATCCCCTTCTCTTGACATCTTTAACACAGCTTCAATACAAAGATCAATGTTCATTTCCCGGGCTCGTTTCTTCTCCGGACTTAAAGGAGGCCTTCCTCTTCCTCTTGCTGTTTTCTGTGCTGCTGACTCCTTGCCTTTACTGAGATCGAGAGGTAACTCCACATCGGCTGGTTTCTTCTCTACGTTCTCCTTTGCCGTAGACGCTGGTGGTGGTTTCCTGGACAAGTCCAACACATCGCTGGCAAACATCTCCTCCATAGTAGATAAAACAGGAATATTTTTACTCTCTTTCTTTTTTTCAGGAGTTTTGAGAAGGGTTTTGTCCTTTGGTGGTCTTCCTCGACCCCTAGGGCTACTCCCTGGCTGAGCAGGACTTTTTCCTTGCCCTGGTGACTTTGGTGCCCTAGGAGATTTTGACCTAGACCTTGGTCGACCCACTTTCTTTTTCTTTGGAATAACTTTTGTTGATGGACTTGGGACTGGTATTTTGTCCTCAGCTAAAACTGGAACAGAGGCAGATTTTGACAAAGTCTCCAAGTTTGATACTTCATCCACACCTCCCTTCTGTCTAGGAATTTTCTTACTCGTTCCGTCTGGGTAAATCATTATCTCCTCCACCTTTTGTTCCTTTTCTTTTGCCACTGTCTCCACTCTCTGGACTTCTCCACTCTCCGTCACTTTTTCTGGTCGGCTTAATGGAGTAGATGGTCGCGTATCCACTTTTTCTTTCCTGAAGATCTTACCAACGGAAGGTTTGTCATGACTAGTTTTCTTGAATCCCTGGGGAGGGGTCCTGGCATCGGGCAGTTTCCCTCCCTTGGTGGGGGTCAGGTCACCAGTGTGTGTGATTGCAATGCTCTTCATCTCGTACTGAGAGTGCATGGCTTCTTCTGGCAGAGCTGCATTTGTCAACCTACAATGGTGAACATATACAGTATAAATATTAATAGGAAACTTCTAATAACTTACTAAAACAGAGACTTATGGCACAATTCTTGTAAGATGAAAACAGTATAAGGAAAATTCAATTAATATTCACAGAATACATCATTAAGAAAGCATTTTTTTTCTATAAAAAACTTTATTTTGTAATCTTTTTAAATTAAATGGATAAATGTGCTTTCACTAAATTCCTTTTCTCTAAAAATGTCCCCTCCCCCCAACAAAAAAAATACAGACATTGAAACACAGGTACACACAAAAACATAAGATAATTGTCACCACATATGCGAAATATTCTGTGTCTATATTCAAAAGTTAAATCTCATTTAAAATTCTTTGAACAGTTATAAATTGACCTTGGCCTTTTCTTTGGCAAGCCTCCCTCCAGCGGGCTGGTCAGGGGTCGTTTGTCTCCTGGGATGGCCAGGTTACTGCCCTCTGTAACCTCAGCTTGACCTCCGACCCCATTTTGACCTTGATCTGTCTGCATGGCTGATCCATCTCCCTGATCATGTGACTTCTCTGTCTCATTGTCCACCTCATCTATCAAAAAAATTCAGCATTGACAAATATCCTTGTGTATCAACATGTTCAACATTGCCGAAATTCGGATAGAAAAAAAAATTAAAATAATAAAATGTCTATTTCTTCTTGTTACATATATGAACAATTGAATCTTTCAGAATAAATATTTCAGTTTCTTCCTTCAACATTAATTTTTTTGGTCAGAGTGAAAATTCATTTCAAAACAAATTATGTACAGCAACTGTACTTCTGGTTTTTCATAACAAAAGAGATATTTTAGATGTGTTCAATGTATTTTCATTACATAACATTAATTATATCAAACTTTAGGTTTTACTCCATACCCTCTGGGGTTGGATAAAGGAGGGGCATGTAATCCTCGATGTGCTCATCCCTAGTCAGCAACTCCTTGTGACCCGGTTTTGGAATCTGTAAATTACAGCTCTTAGGAGCAGGAAACTGAACAATTTCATGGGGGAAAGGCACTGGCTCCACGTGTCGGACATACTCCTCCAGCTCACTGACACTGACCCCCATATGACGAAAAGCAAGTCCCACATCATCTAAGTTAGGGTTTGTTCTTCCGACTGTAAATGACACCTCAAACATTTATTTTGCAGATAAATACATATTTAGCCATATGTCATTGGATATTTTAAACATTTTTTCACAAATGTTACTTTGGTCATTGAAAAATCAAAGGGAGGGGGGAAGAAAAAAGAAATACACATAGTGTAATATCATCAAAAATGAAAATAAATCTTAAAATCAGTTATACTTCAAATACAGTCAAACCTCGTTATCTCAAACTCGATGGAACCGAGAAAAAACTTCCACATATCCGAGGATTCAAGATATCGAGGGTAAAATACTTAAAGAATAAATAGTTGGGACTTTTAAATCACTTTGATATATCCATGGTATTCAAGATATCAGTGTTGAAGATACCAAAGTTCAACTGTATTATAAAATTTTGCCACAGTAATGAAAAAATGGGCTTTCAGGCTAATATTTGCATACCTCTTAACTATTTTCAGTGCTACATGTACCTATGTATATTGCAATATTGATTAAAACACGTATATATAATTATTATAAATATAACATAAAAGGACTTTTCATCAATTCTTTTTTAACCTTTAGGATTGAATGAAAATTTAAAAGACAAATACAAAATGTTGGGTTTCAATCCTAATGTGCAATTGAATTTGCCTTAATTTCATCACATCTGCTTTGAAATACGTACACTGTTCGGAATATCTGTGGGTGACTTTGGCAAGTTGTAGCATGTAGCGTCCCAAAACGTCAGTGAGAAGCTCCAGGGGAGTTGACTGAGCAGAGTTCCATCCCACGTTCTGACAAATCTGAGCCAGAGCTATTCTCAGAATACTCCGACTATACTGCTCGGACATCTAAATCAGAAAAAATGCAATGTCTGTTATACTTCATTTATCAATGTGATCAAATAACCTCGAGCTTGCAGTGTCTAACTTGTGGGATTTAAACATTTTGTAACTTTTATGTATCTAAGAGTGTTATTCCTATGCTTTAGAAACCTGCTTTAAAAGTATTTTGCAATTAAAATCTTAAAACTAACTCTTGATTTGTGTAACAAACTCTTAAGTGATGAGGATCTCCTCAATAAACACATGATGAAAAAAAGGTCAGATTTGATACCAACAACATTTGCAAGTCTTGCAGAACAAAATGAAAGAGAGGTGAATTTAATATTATTATTAACAAGAGCAATAGGTGAAGTAAACAGTGATAGACATTAACTTTGAGATTCACTTGCCCTTTGGGCAAGTGTTCTCAATCTTGGATTTGTATAAATGCAAAACTTGGATGCCCAAAATTAGGAGAGAAGACAATAACTTAATTTATTACTGTTAATAAGAAAACGTGTGAACATGCAGATATATTTCTGCTAATTTGGAAAGTTGAGCTACCTGAAAAAAATTTGATGCTCAGTTGTACGAAAATGTATACCAGTGTCCTTGTCAATTTAACCTGTTTAATTTCACACTGCAATGCAGCAATAACCCTCTGTTTCCTTTATAATAAAATCAATTGGATCCTTCATGAATTTGTGAATTTTGATTTTCAGAGTTTATGTGAAGCAATGTGAAGGATGATAGTTGCTACAAAACATAAATATCTTGTTCAGGAATCAGGATTCGTCATGTTACTTATACCCTGTGAGTGAATAAATAATGCATTTCCTAATAAGTTGGTAACAAAATAGTTAGCAAAATACATTGAGCGTATTTACCACAAAGAAAACATAATATTTATAATGAACCCAATTTTTAAATGAATGGTATACTTTAGAAACACTGCAAAGGGATTCCAAAAACAAAAACAATGTCAGTCATGTACCTGGCGAAAATCAACTGTTCAATCTATTGTTTTATTTATAAGTTAATGTAAACTAGATAACAATATATAATTCTATCAGAAAAATTCACTTGCTCGACCTGACAAGTAAGTTGACAGTTTTACTTGCCCTAATCTGAGATTCCTCTGACTCTAATCCCTGCTTTTATATTAGGACATGTGCAAGGAGTCTCCCCTACACATGTCCCAATATAAAAGCAGGGGTTAGAGTCAGAGGAATCTCGGATTATACTTGCCTGAACTGAGAATTTACTTGCCCCTGGCAATCACTTTATCAGACAACCGTTAGCTACCACAATGATCGTTATAAAGTAAGGTGTAAAAGTTCATGAAATTTCAACTGAAATCTGCACTGACCATCACAATTCCTTGCAAACATTGATAATGGTGGACAAAAAAATATGGCATTTTATAATGATTCCAGTTTTGAAATTACCAGAATCCTACTTACTTTTTAATTAAGCAACTGTCTCTTAAAATTAAAGAACCAAAGAGGCCATGATAGCATCATCTTATTTCGATGAAACGTCATATACCAAAGCACGAATTTTTCTGATTGGGCACATCATCATGGATGGAGTGCACTTATTGCATTTTCACATTTTGAATCTTAAGATGTTGTATAATGCATAGACGATCGTAAACTACACAGCTGCTTCTTAAAAAAGGCTTCTTTAACTCTGTCTGCCTCTCTGTCACAACAAAATAACCATTTACTGCAACTGGAAACTATCCTACTTCCATTTTTTTTTCTAAAATCAATGTTAAGAAAATGTTTGTTATTCTCAACTTCTGATCCCGATGTATTTAATTTTGCTATTAACTTTCAGGATTAATCATCCCTTTACAGTTCAAAGCTAACTGCCAATGCTAGGATACAAAAATATATTGCAATGATACCTTTCATAAAATATCGTAACGTGCAAAAAAAAAAAAAATAATAATAATAATGATAGATCGAGTTTGATATTCTACAAAATTCAAACATTTATTTCACTAAGAAGACAAGGAATCCTGGGACATATTTTTCGATGGTGACGGAAGTGTACACACAGTAAAACTTTTAAAGACATGATTTTAGGTAAAAATGGTTGAAAGATCTGTATTTTTGTTTATTGTAAGCTTTTTGAAGTTATAGAACTATTTGTCGTGTCGATAAAGCTCAAAGAATGCATTGTTTTCATTTTAGGCATCAACATGACTGCATAAAACTTGACTGACAAGATAAAATTTAGTGATAATATTGGGTTGAAGAAGAGAGGAAAAACCATGGGAATATTTGACTCTCTAGCAAAGTGGCTTGGTCTTAAGAAAAAAGAAGCCAATGTTCTTGTGGTGGGACTTGACAACAGTGGTAAAACTACCATCATTAACCAGTTAAAACCAGCTGAGTCAAAGTCCCATGACATCGTTCCTACCATTGGTTTTACAGTGGAGAAATTCTCAGGAAAGTCCTTGTCCTTTACTGCCTTTGATATGTCGGGTCAGGGTCGATACCGTAACCTCTGGGAACATTACTACAAGGAATGTCAGGGCATTATCTTTGTAATTGATAGCAGCGATCGATTACGTATGGTCGTAGCACAGGAGGAATTAGAACAGTTACTAAATCACCCTGACATTGTAGGTAGACGCATTCCAATACTGTTTTATGCTAATAAAATGGACATGAGAGATGCCTTGTCAGCTGTAAAAGTTGCACATCTTCTAAATTTGGACAAAATTAGCACGAAGCCGTGGCATATATGTGCATCTAATGCCTTAACTGGTGAGGGTTTAAGTGAAGGTGTAGAGTGGATAACTGGGCAATTGAAAGAAGTTGTAAATGCTAAATGAAGCACCATTATATCTCCATTACACTTAATAGTTGTATTCTGTATGTGTATAAAAAAATGTTCATTTAATAGACATGATAGCAAGTAGCAAAACTGAAATTTTACTCTTGTTCAAAAGAAATAAGTTCATTTAAAGAATTGCTGTACACATGTTGAATAACTTAAATTACTGATGACAACATCATTCATTATGCTTCTTTTTTTTTGGAAAAAAAGGGGGGGGGATTCATCATGCTGTTACTTTTCTGTTGTTCGAATACTGTACATATCTCTTATTATGGATCTTTACAACTTATTATGAATCAATACAACTTCTAATCTAATGGATATTTAATATTTTATTATCCATAAAGTATGTCTTTAATGTTCTGGAATATACCTTTGTTGATTTGCTCCGGTTGTGAGTTAAAGTGTTGATGATTGAAACATTTAAATTTGTACCTCAATGATTATTACATGCATTTTTTTTTAAAGTGGATGAGTTGTTTAAAGGGAATCTAAATTTTTATGAATTCCAATAATATTTGTGTGAATTGTTCAGTAAATCTGAAATAATTATTTTAGGAGGCTTTTACACAGAAGTTTTGTTCAGTCCGTCCTAAGACCATAACATATCAAGTCTGTATTATGTGTTTACACATACAGGTGAAAATATTACATATATATTTGTTATATAATGTTGTCATAGGTCTTGGTTAAGTAAGTACCTTTAAAATAAAAGTTATGTACATTTTTTATTAATGGTTGTATGATCTGTTTTCTGTATGAATTTGAATTTTTTATTTAGCGTATGAATTTGAAAATGATACAATATAGGAAAGTCCAAAGCATTGGTGCAGATGATATGTTCATTCTCTGGAATTTAGAAGATGTAACTAATAAAATAGTGTCTTTAACAATCAAGAATAGAAGTAATTTTATACATCGAAGAATGTATTTTGAAATGTAAAATATTAGAAAAATTGGCTAGTTTTAATAGATAAAGTAATTTTTAAAGACGACTTGCAAATGCACCGCTGAATAATATATCTCTAAACATAGAAAGTGGATAAAAAATGGACTTATTCATAATACAAAGGGAAATAAAAAAAAGAGAAGAAAATAGGTTTGTAAAAGAAAATCAAAATAAGTCTTCATATTCATTTAGTAATAAAATATGTTGACGTACCAGTATTGAAATATTATGAACATTCACCTGTTTTTGTCAAACTAAATGTTGTTACTGATCAGTTGCACAATGACTCAAGACCAAATTCAGTGTACAAGTTATTTCCCTTCATACGTACGCAATATAGAGACACGATGAAAAATATATGACTGCCTCTGATGTCAAATTACTTGTTACATTGTTGAAAAAACTATTGAATGCATTTAATGTTTCTGAATAAATTTTTACTCAATTATTATGTGTTAAAATTTCAGTAAGTGTCTCTTGAATTTTTTTTTTTTATTTTCATGAGCATTTGCTGTACATGTACATGTATGCATATGGTAAATGTATTAAGTTGTACAAGTAGTTATCATTAATTCAAAATTTGAATGATTGTTGTCCACAATCACGGTTCTAAATAAAGTATTGCCAATTCAATTGAATATTATTTTTTTAATTATAGTTTATGAAACTTTATGCTTCTTTGGTATATGCACAGCTGTGGAGTGACCACATAGGCAGGGGTTGTGAGATAAATCTCCCCCCCCCATCACTATTTCTCCTCCCCTGATGCTTCTTTCATTTCCCTCCGGGAGTCTGCATTTACAGAGGAAGACACATCGTCGGATACCCACGGCTAATCTCGTCTGACTGTTACTCATCAGAATAGTGAAAGACGAGATCAGACGGAGAGTACCCGACGATGAGAAAGCAATCTAATATGGAGTATGAGTTCATTAGAGATTGGAAACTTGACTCCCGGGAAAATAATCAAAAATCTTATTTTGGGTGAGTTCACAGTCACTATAGAAATGCATATGATGCATACTTACAAATTACAGTTAGCAGCCACCTTAATTTGCATGTACTAGTATTTGTTTACCCCTCCTTCTTTGGAGGGGGTCCAGATCACCCATTACAGCTAGTGGTAAAACATACAGCATTTATAATCAGAACAACGCGTAGAATCAAACCAATTCCCTTAAAATCTTTTAAAAGTTTAACCTGTATATAAACAGACCGACATGATATCAAAAGTAGTAACACCTTTATAATAACAGATAAATGGTCATATACATAGATAAGAATGATAAAACGCCATTTTATTTCGAAATGTACAGACTTTGGAGAAACCAACGATACTCCATTACTTGACAAAAATGTTCAGTTTCATACACTTTGGTAAAGTTTGTTTTGATTTTTGTTGAGTCTTATATAACTTTGATGTCCAGTTTAAAGAAAATCTCGCGCCGTTCTGAATGTCTTTATTATTTATATTGTAAATAATCAGTAGAAATAATACCTTTCTTGCAGTTATCTTTGGAGTATTGTGTTATCTATCTACTGTACGAGGTATTCTAGTTCTTTGTATTTTAATTTCCAGTGAAATTGAGTGTATTTTAAAAGAGGAATATCTAATTATTTATTATAATACCACGTTTTCTTTTGTTAAAAAAACATTTTTTTTAAAATCCGAATTAATATGCTTTTTATACAAGTACACTGCAGATCAAATTCTCTTTTATATTTTGATTTTTTGATCTACATAACATTATTGATGCACGTGTTTTTTTGTTTGTTTGTTTGTTTGTTGTTTTTTTTTTTTTTTTTTTTAGGTTTGCGTTGTCTGAAATGCTCTTCCATAACTGAACCCCGTCTCTGTACCGAACTGGAGACGTGTCAGTCGGGGGAGGTGGGTGTTTATATTATATATAAATATTGTTATTGTTATAGAAGGGACCCCCTCCCCTTACCCCAACCCCCACCCAACGACCAAATTGAAATTCTATAACAGAAAAAAAGGTTAATGAAAATGCATGTAAAACTACGTACCCTCTCAGAATTTTTTTTATAGTTTTATAAATGGAATTCTTTCAATTTAATACCTCAGTCCTTTCATGTTCAATAAAATGCATAGAAGAGACTAGCTGTATTTATCTTTTTGAAATGGCACACATAACTTCTTCTTTTTTTACGTTCTATATGCCAAAAACTTCTTTAAAATCGGGCACTCATGATAACTTAAAAATATATCCCTCAGCCAATATGATTTAAGTTAAGCCAGGACGGAGAACTAAATGTTTGATCCCCCCCCCCCCCAACTGATATGATATTGCTTCCTACGGGGCCTGCTAGATAGAATTAATTCTATGGAAATATGGTAAAACGTTGCTTGATATTTATGAAAGCTGAGAATTTAATCTTTGAATATTCACTGCTTTATTGTAGATATGTGGAGTACGATACCTGAGGTCGGACAATGGGGACTTTTCATACTGGACGGGCTGTGTCCCCCAAACAGTAAGGACCCCTTCTTCTCAACCCCACCCTCTTAACTTTCCGTAATCAATCAGAAATTACTTTATACAGGTTGCATTCCATGAACAGTATAATATGTACACTGTATTATCTTCCATATCACACTTTGTCCCAGTACATGTAACGATACATGTAGATTTGCATGATTTGCCCCCTAAAATTTTCTATAACTTTTTTCATCTTGACAACGATGTACGTTATGATACGGATGTACATGTGACATTTCCACAATGGCATGAAACGGGATCATAAGGAAATATTGCAGATGTACAATAACACAGGAGATTAAAAAAAAACAACAAAACAAACAACACAAAACAAACAAACAAACAAAAACAAAAATTAAACTATGCTCACTATAATGACGACATTAAAAGTTAAGATTTGTCAATAGACAAAATATCAAACGTCAAGGGTTAAATGTTATGTTCATTTAAACACCAAAGTTGACTAAACAAGCTCCCACACTATATATTCCTTATCATCTTATATCTATACACGGTCATTATACAATAAGATTCAAACGCAATCAAATTTTCGATCTGACACTTGAATTTAATTCTCCAGAGCTGTGTTTCCGTAGATACCTCGGGAGTTGTCATTGGTAAAAGGACCAGTTACTATGACAACGAAGTAATCTGTCAGCACTGTTGCTCGAGCGACCTTTGCAACTCTCAAGGATGTGGTGCACTCGGTATGTACGCAATAAAGACTGACGATAAATTCTCCACTTCTGATAAATCTCTTAATACATGCTCATACGTCAGGATATGTTTACATAAATTGGGGCCACGATTTGGCGTTAATCTTGATGGAATGTTTTACAAGATCCATTGTATTTCTGTGATATTACATTAAGTCTGAAAATTAACTTCTTACATATAAGAGATAAAACTTTATGCATGAATTCTTATATGGCGAAACTACAGCATGAATAAGTATTTTAATGTGTAGGCTTACGCATATTTGGTGGTGGTAACCTATATACCCCCCCCCCCAAAAAAAAAAGAAAGACATAACCCCTAATTTTAATGCGGGGAGAGGGGGGGGGGGGAGTCAGTTAAACTTTCTATTCAAACTCAATGAAAAAAAACCCCCTTGGGTTGGGGAGTTGGGATGGGGAGGATTCCTGGTTATATCCACTCAGGGGCGGATCTAGGTTCTTGCAAGAGCTAGGAGCTTAAGTTTCATCACCCCTCTGCTCATTTAAGATTTTATTTTGACGCTTAGTACGGGTGTATGAATTTTCCAGAAGAAATTAAATTTATAATTAAATTGAACACAATTTCAACTCACGTGTACCATGAGGGCGAATTGACAGAAATCGCCTTTTGACTCGTTAATTTTTTTCAAAAGAATTATACATGTTTATCCCAGTAAAAGTTATCTTTCTATTTAGAGGGTCAATGAATCTTAAATTAGCTTCGTAGAAACGTCCTCCCCTCTTATCCTCTCCCCGTCCGATTTTTTTTTTTTTTTTTTTTTTTTTTTTTGGAATAAGACATCGAGCAAAACCGTCCATTCTGACAAAAAGCACCACGCTGTGCAAGTATATATATAAATTCTCCCAGCAACTTGAATTTTAGTGATACTCACATGACTAAAATTGTTTCTTGAGTGTGTAATTGAGCTATATTATATTATCCATATATTATACATTTATCACTAATTTATACTTGACAATAGGATTTTTGTTTTTATAAAAGAAGGCTACCCAAATATTCAACTGTTCTGCATATAGAATTGTAATAAATACCATTTTCTTTTCTAACATGTAAAATCTGTTGACAAAAAGGGGGGTGTACGCCCCCTTTTAATCCGCCACTTGCGCTTGATACACATAGCAAGAACAATGTTATGTTTTCTTGCTTCCTGTTACAGGTTACCCTACTGACCGTGGTCCACTGTGTTATGAATGTACAAACTTAGCTGAGCCTGCCAGCTGTCACAAAATCGCAATCTGTAACCATAACGAGGTAAGATAGTCCTAGTCAAAAACTGATAAAAACTGAAAATTTTTATCTTAAATCTATAATATTAAGGGTGGAATTGAAAGGTTCCAATCGAGAGCAGTAGATAGAGGTTCCAAATTTTATATTGGACTGAATGTTCTATTGATATAATCTTTATGTAAGATAATAATGACTTCTGAACGGGAATATTCTCAAAAAGTTGTGTATAATATTTCAATGAACTTCAGTCATGCTAAACTTTCAATTTTAATATTCAACTATACAGACAAACTTATGATATACAAATAAAAATCACTGTGGTCAATACAGTGATGAATGCAGGATTCCTAAAAAAAGGAGGGAACAGGTCGGGGGACTGTGGGCCTCCTAAAGGCCCCAAGTAGGTCCAGGGTAAAGCCCTGGTGGAGGCCCAGGGGATGAAGCCCCTGGCACCTCCCAGGTTTATGTATACTTTATGTACATTCAAAGCAGCATCTAAGACAACAAAATTGATTTATTAATTTTTTATTAAAATTGGGATCACAAAGTCCCCCCTCTGAATACGCCAGTGCAATATGCGATATAAATCATCCTTCACAATTCAGAAATGCTACGTAGGGACCGAGTCTCACTTTGGACAGCTTTACTACACCACACGCTGTGAAACAAGACATGTGAGTAAATATAGTAATTACTATCTACGTGTAGTTATTTCCCTTTGGAAGTGTTCGAAGTGGTTGATAATACGAATTACATCATGTAGACATTTCCAAGCTAAGTGGACTGATTTATTTATAGGCTTGCACGGCTCTAGACCATGCTAATCCGCTGGGGAGGAGGGCCGTGGCTTGTAAGCATTGCTGTGCCGGGGATTTGTGTAACGCCGGCTGTACAGGATAAAAATCAACACGTGATCAAGTGAGCTGCATGATTTTTTTGAATATTATCGATGTAGAGTTACAGAACCGATTCGTAGGAAGCAATTTCAGTTTGGGGGCACAACCTAAGTAACAGAAATTTCTGACAACCTTAAAAAAAATCAGAAGTTTTTGAAATGGGAACAACCGTAATTAAATTATCCGATTCCTTTTCTAATTTAAACTAGAACAATTATATTTATTGGTGGGGTACGACTGCAGATCTGTTCCCTATAGTAAATTATATATACGGGCAAACTTATGGAGGGGCACAACCCCTGTGCCCCCATATCACCCTTCACCCGGTTGCTACGGGCCTGCAGGGTATAAAAGTATTCAACTATGATTCTTGTCACAACTTTGAAAGAGCGAAGCATTAGATTCTTATAATTTCAGACATGCAGAGATTGCTTTTTACCAGAGGATATGACCTCAACACTATTAATTTGGACAAGGTCAAAGTCACATGTTTCAGAATGTAAAGTTCATGCCTTCATAAAACATTAGAAGATTATACTTTCGTTAGAAGATTTAGCCGCTCGCTTTAGGCTACGACTTTTTAATATCAGAATTAACTTTGGTGAAATATCACGGAACTGTTCGTCAAAAGATGTTTTACTGTATCAACGTTCACTAGCTGTATCGAGTTCAAATCATTTTCTGCAAAATAGGTACAGTAACCGTTGTAGAAATGGTCTTTCTGACAGAATTATTCACATAAGATCAAAAATATTTTAACTACGCAAAACTCTCAATATAAAGAAAAAAAATGTAAATATGATAATGTTTTAGCTGCGTTTGTTTAAAGAATAATGGCTAGAACTTCCTACATTAACTAACTTTTCCCTTCTTATTTAGATTCGTCGACGTTCGAGATTTGTCATGGAGAAGGAGTGTCTGAATTTGCTTTTGAAACTTTATTTTTGAGAATAAATTCAAAAATACTTATTATTTAACTAAAAATCTTACACAGTAATTTTTTTTATTTCATGTCTATAGCAACATATACTGAACTTATGTATTATCACCAGCAATGAGACAGCTATATGATTGAAATGTTAGAATTTCTAAGTTCTCGGATAGGTACAGTCTCAGAATCTCTCAATGATAATTACAATTCAAAAGTAGACTTAAATCTTTTTCAGATTCAAATTCTTTAATCTAACATCGTATATTCTGTAGTCTATTTTATAGAATACATGATAAAACCCGCATGATGAATCAATCGCAAGTTGTGCTTCTGTTTGTAGAAGTGGTTTGGGTGGAAAGGCGGTCATCGCTCATATTTCACCACCAATCTCCGGGGATCTATGCCTAGTCCCCATCCATGCTCGAAGTTATCGCGGAAAACTAAGGACATTTAGAAATGATATTTAACTGACAAAGTTAAATCAATGTTGTATTTGGACCAACGAAACAAATGCATATAATTTCAGTTAAATATTATATACTTATCCACTGGCTGTGAGTGGGATAGCTCTTTTATCAAACCCGCGACAGGGAACAATTCCGAAGTCAGGATGACATCATAAGTCTATAGATTAATTACAGAAAATCAAAATTGGCGGCAAAAATTGCATGAAAATTTTCCGAGGGGTGGATAGCAAAAACTATACTCGGCGTATATAGCTTTGCTATGAGTGGAAATTTTCAGACTATGAAAGATAGTTATTTTACCTTCTTAACTTTTTATAGGAAACATTTTAACAGAAGTATAATAATTTACACTGTCGTATGTCTTGTGATATCAATTTACATTGTGGTGCTTTACAAGACATGTAGGGTTTGAACTGACATTTAAAAATGCACGTTTCCTGGTAGCAGTAACAACATAGCAACAAGGAGATAGGGAAATTATTCCCCCCCCCCCCCCCGATAAAAGTACTAAGGGACACTTATATATATATATATATATATATATATATATATATATATATATATATATATATATATATATATATATATATATATATATATGGGAAGACTAATAATATCAAACCTTTCGATGTGACTGACAGTTTTTTTTTTTGGGGGGGAGGGGGGGAGAGAGAGAGAAAACAAGAATTTAAGACTCAATTTAAACATGTTTAAACTTTCGTATTTCTACACGTTTTTGATATTTAAAAATATGTTACCTTGTACCAACTTAGCAACAAATCAAATGGATAGGGAAATAATTTCAATTTTCTGTTTTCTCTCAATTATTATTTTTACATATGTATTCTTTAATTTAATTTAAACATATTTTATTGAATAAATCAATAAGGATCGGGAAACAGGCAAAGCCTATACATACCCTCTCCTTGTGCAACAGGTCAAGTCAAGTTCAAGTTCAAGTTCTTTATTTCTTTGCGTCATACGACACATCAGATTACATATATTGATAACTAAACATAAATACAATATTATAAAATATAACAATATGAGAGTGAGCATAATCAATAAATAGCAAGTAAACTATGTAGGACGTGTTTTCTAACAGGCAATTGTAATTACATTTATAAAATACTTAAAAATTTACAAATGTTTCATTCTTCTAGTGGAAGCTTGATATAAATATTTTCCAAGGTTACAAAGTTCCTTTATATTTTGTACACTTAGAAGTTGAATTAATTTCCAAACACTGGATTTCTTATAATAATACTTTTTCAAATACTTAGATCTAAGGTCATAATAAAAAGGACATTGTAAAATAAAATGAAATTCGTCTTCGATAACATTCAAAGAGCACATTTTACATAATCTGTTTTTTCTAATTTCATTAACATATCTACCAGTTTCAACATTTAGATTATGTGCAGATAGTCTAATTCTAGCAATTTGTATTTGTACATATAATTAATAGGTTTACGCAAGTAATATTGTATACCAAAATTATCAACCAAATGTTGGTATAGCGGGCTACGGGCATTGCTACAAATATTAGAAATCATAGTATGGTTATTCACCTCAAGGAATCTTTGTTTTACTAACATGTAAGTATTATCATTGAAATCTGCATCAAATATATAGCCAAGTCCCAGTTTATTAAGTTCATTTTGAATATCTCTGATCCAACTATCATTATTCCTTAATCTTTCTTCCAAGCATGATTTTAGTAAAATATTTTGTGTCCCCTTTAGTTTCAAAAAATATTTTATGATTTTCAATTTTCTAGATTCCCTCATAGGCATTCTTCCAAGTTCGAAATACACAAGATTGTTACAGGCACTTTTTTTTAAACGAAGTAACTTTTTACAAAAGAGACTTTGTATTTTTTCTACATCTGGAGCTTTATGAAATCCCCACACCTCTGCTCCATAATTAAGAATACTACATACATACATTTCAAAAAGTGATATTTGAGTTTCGACATTAAAATCAAAGTTGCAGAATTTTTTGTTCAACGCATAAAATGCTTTTCTTCCCTGTTCAGCTACGTGCTTTTGAGTTATATTAAATTTACCATTATAATTGAAACACATTCCTAGATAACTGAATCTATCTACTATTTCAAGTTCTTTTCCATTGTAAACCCATTTTTCTTCATTTCGTAAACTTCTACCATTTCTAAAAACTAAAAATTTGGTTTTATCTGTATTAACTTCAAAAGATATTAAATTAATAATACTTGTACATGATAATAATACTAATAGTCAAAAATAAAGATTCACGATCAAGTATCATTCCTCAATATTGTATAAAAAACAGATTATGACCCCCTGATTATGTATAAATTATTTACTTACTGTTCCAGCTTTAATATGAGTATTGTAAAACTGTACATTTGATATAGTATTTAATTTTACAATATACTTAACTTAAGTAAAGTTTATAGTCTCTTAGTAGATTTAATAAATTCATGTACATATGAAAAAAATTTAACAGTTCTTATGATAGGAATATTGACATTCTCCTCTTACAAAGTGTCAAGATCAAAAACAACATCAATATCAATTAATATTTTTACCAGTAAGTTTCTTTCAACAGTATATGAAAGACATTTGATAAGATAATGTTCATTATCCTCAGTATAAAAGCCACACTTTTCACATGATTGAACATCTGATAAAAAATGATTTTTTAAGTGGGCATTTAGATTGCTGGCATTGTTTCGCAACTGACAATGTAAGATATTCTCTTTTCTATTACCAAAGTTAAAGTACCTACATGTACATGGGTAAATTGTTAGTTGCTCCCCACCTTTTAAGCTTTGCTTTCTTATTCTGTATTTTTTTTTTTGGGGGGGGGGGTGTGCAAAAGACGAAACAAAACAAGAATTAATTTAAGGCCCAAATACAACATATTCAAACTATCATACTGGTACATCTTTACATCTTTTTCAGGAAGTAAATTGATAAAATCAGGAACAATTTCCGTATTTATGTCAGGGGCAGGTGTTGCAGTGAATAGCGATGAAAGAAATTAATCAACTCAACAACTGTGTTACATAATACCATAATTGGTACTCGATAACGGGATTTGTTTTAAGCTTTGATAAAGGTTACTTGCTGTTACCTGAATCTAAAGATTTACAGCATCTGTTAAAAGAATACAGTTCTTTATATAATAATACTGTACGTACTTTTCAAAATTAAAACAAATACACATAAAACACATTGATGTCCTGTGAAGTCATTAAAATTTAAAATCTGACATCTTTTTTTTAATTTTGTTTCAAATTATTATCACTGAAGTCATATTCAGTTTATAGAATATACAACTCAATGAATGTCAGTCCACCGTGTACTTAAAAAGAGTTCATCCAATAGATGAGGCTCTTCCTTGATCTGTTCTTTTAATATAGAGAAGCGATTTAGGTAGTAAATCTTCTGTCTTAAATGTTTATAAAAGAACGCTTAAGCGAAAAGTTAACGGTGCTGTTGGATAGAATTTCAATATAGGTCCACACTTAAACGTTATCTTCGGGAATTTTTCAGCGTTGCTCATATCTTAATTTGTTGCATACTTATGGAAGACCTAAATCCCTGTTTTGTTTGATTA